GCAGGCTGTCATACTCTATGTGAGTCATTTGCTAGCTTTATGGATGTTTGTCCTGGGCGCATACTGTCCTAATTGGAAGTATCGCTGGGTACACCATCCAGCCCTGTCCAGTCACCGCAGCTCTCAGCCTCTCATAGTTCTCATGCTCCCTACCTGTTAGGCTTCACGCTGCTCTCAAAGCGCCTAGGAGCCAAGACTGACTAGAGCAGTGGTTCTCAACCTTCCTAATGCCGTGACCCTTTAATACAGTTCCTCATGTTGTGGTGACCCCCAACCATAAAATTATTTACCCAGTAATTATAATTCATGAGTGTCGTTTTACCTCCAATACTGCTGCTTTCAACACAGTAGCTGCTTTTAACACAGCAGCTGCTTTCAACACAGTAGCTGCTCTTTACACATCGGAAATATGTGTTTTCTGATGGTCTTAGGTGGCCCCTGTGAAAGGGTCGTTCGACCCCCAAAGGGGTCACGACCCACAGGTTGAGAACCACTCTACTAGAGAATAGTCTCTTTTGTGGGCTGCACCTACCTATCTCCAATCAGTTTCACACCTGTTCATGGACCCTTTCCCTGTGAAAAAAGGCACTATCTGCATCTCTAGTAGCAAAACATACATAATCATTTTCAGCCAGTCAGCCAAACCCCTCTGCTAATATAGCATGTACTGGTTCCTGACCTCTAGTGCAGTTAAGCAGTACAACCTGGTCAAAGATCTGCAAACCCTTTGTTGAACGCACACTAAACAAGCAGTAGCAATAGCGATAGCAGCACGCTAATGAAGTCACTCCTGTTCCTTCCTCCCTGTAAGCATATTCAGTGTTAGGATGACAGCATTATTCAAAGCAATAGGGACCTGGCAGGCTCAGAGTGTTGACTCCCCCACTCACAGTGTCAGTGTTGTATAGAGGATTGCAAGAAGCCAATATAATGACTAAATTCAATATTCATCATTAAACAGACTCTATTAAAAATACCATCAATCATTTTAGTGGATACATACGTGCATTAGAAGGTGCCTTTTTATCTGCCCTTTTGGTCGGTATTTCTCTCCTCACTACTGCATTTTATGAATTGTGGGTTGAATAAACTATAATGTACTGAATTTTGTGTCCATGCACATGAAAAAATATGTGATCACCTTTTGGTTTCAAATAGCCCTTTTACAATGTCATGTCTTAAAGGGTAACTCCACATTTGTGGGGAAAAAAATGGCAAATTAAAAAAACAAAAACCTAGCATGCATAATTCCAACATAAGCCATGTTGTAATTGAATGCTTTTTAAAATGACCTTTTCTTTTCAATCTGCAGTGCTTTAAGTTTCTGTAAAATTTTATATAATATGGCAACCTGAAGGAGTTCTGTATAGACTTGGTGTAAGAAACACCCCCAGAAATGTCATTTCTTGCTTGTGTGGTTGGCCCCTGAAGAGTAAGTCAGATTTTAGACATCCTCTGCAACAAAAAAAATCATTTTTGGTGAGATTCTCCTGAAGGGTCAATCACTTCTAAAAGGATGCAGACCCTGCAACTTTTTTTCATTAGAACACTGTAAGTGCATCAGCTTAATAATAATGAGAAAGTCCCCCCCAATCTGAATCAATATCCAAAGATAAATAGAAGAACAAACAGCTTTTTTCTTCAGCGCAGAAACAGGTAGGGCTCTGCAACACATTTGAGGAAATCCCTGCAATATACATTGATCACCCAGAGGGGAGTGTTTTTTCATAATAAATGTAGGGTTACTCTTTAAGTAAGTGTAGCCTGGGAATGATTACAGTAAACCTGCTTTGCTAGGCATAGGCAATCTATATAAATAAAAAAAGGCAATATCATGGCACCTGTGTAACCTAGTAAGAATATAAACTAAAATATAGTAAAGCTATAAGAAAAGGCAGTTGCTCTTATTAAGTGAGTAAACACTCTAAATATCAAAAACATAAATAGACAGGCGCTTGCTCAATAGAATACAACATATAAATATGTGTCATATAAGATAACAAAACATAACATAATATAATATTATATAATATAACACATATAACATAACAGAAGAGATGAAATACGCAAATATATAAGGCGCTCTCCCAACACCACGTGTAATTGTATACAGTATCTCATACAGTGTATGGTAAAGTCCAAAAATTGTAAATGGATGAGAGTCCCATAGGAGGGTGTTCTCCACCACTTGTGAGTAATAAATGAATTTCCCACTCACCAGAAGGCGTTGACCTCCATTCTGGGTGGTCAAATAACGCTAGGGTAATCAAATGACATATGGGTTCTTCACTACAGGCTTTCATAAGATGGATTATAGTAGTAGCTCTCGAAAAGATCAAAATATAAAAGAATTTCCATAAAATGTGCTCTAAATGTAGTATTTATTAGGAACTATGGTTCATAAATTAAGTAAAAATGCACTCACATAATATGGTGCCTGTACCATGTGTAACTGTGCCAATGTGGGAACAACATGTCTCCCTGTGTAATGCCAGGGTATGTTCCAAGCCTCATGTTAGCGGGCCGGACGTGACGTCTGGTGGGACTCCAGAAGTGACGGGATCATGCTTCTACATACGTTTCACCTGGCGGCGTCTTCCTGAGAGCTACTACTACAAGAAGGGGAGCTTGGAGATTCATCTTAAGAGAGCCTGTAGTGAGGAACCCATATGTCATTTCATTACCCTAACGTTATTTGACCACCCAGAGTGGAGGTCAACACCTTTTGGTGAGTGATAAATTAATTTATTATTCACAAATGGTGGAAAATAACTTATTGGATCTATGTGACACCCTCCTATGGGAATCTGATCCATTTACCATTTTTGGACTTTCACATACACTGTATTAGATATACTATTACATGTGGTGTTGGAAGAGCACTTTATATATTTGTGTATTTCATCTCTTATGTTATAGGGCACATATTTATATGCTGTATGCTATTGAGCAGGTGCCTGTCTATTTATGGTTTTGATAGGCAATCTATAGCCTTCTGTCTATGGGTTATGGATTCACTATACAGTGCCTGCAGCAGGGCTGCATGTAATTGTGTATACCAATTCTTTTCACTGAGATTGCACTGTGGTTCCAAAGAAGAGATTTTGGCGCTGTTGCCAGAAGGTAAGTGTACTACAAATGTTCTACATAATCTGTGAATGGAGGGGGAGATCCTTTTAATCACCCACCCATCCTCCATTCATAGATCCTGTTTCATTTATAGAAGCTGTAGTAACAAGCTCTATGAAAAGAACAGTTGGGCAGAAACAACAGGCAAAGCTCTCTTGATGAGAGCCTGTGACAGTCCCTTAGATTAACCTACACAGGAATATAATGGCTGTGGGGAGGTTTTGGTTTCATAAGGAGGAAGATTTCATCTAAAAGAAGAGGCATCAGCACAAGGGACACATCCTACTAACAGTAAGTAATGTCCATTGTGCTGGATTTTCTGTGACTTTTTTTTTATGCTGCACATTTTGGCTTTTAAAAAAAATGCATTTAAAGTGGTATTAACCCCAAAAGCAAACATTTAATATACTTCAGCTTACCTATTCTTAGATTTGGTGGCTACATTAGCTTTCTTTTTAAGGCTTTCATTCTTTTATTTTCACCAGGTGATCTGCCCAGTAAGTCTACTGTTTTTCAACAGAACAAGCTGTCATTCAGATGTAGCAGTTAGAAGGTTGAGACAAACAATATATCATTGACAGGGGTGCTTACAATTGTCAGCTTTTATTGATTTATGTAAAACCTTTATCCCTAAAGAAAAAAAAAAAAACTGTTGCTGTAGCTGCTTAAAAAGTGATAGGGGGAGTTTGGCTTCAGTTTTTTCCAACACATCTAAGACTCCCCTCCCCCCAGACTGACAGTGCTACTGTCCAAAGTACCCCATGTGCTCCTTCATCCACAGTGGAAGCACTCTAATACAGGAGGTATGTCACTGACCAGATCACCAGGTGAAAACAGAAGCAAAAAAAAAACAACTTACAAAAGAAGACTAATGCAGCCACCACATCTAAATAGTGGTAAGCTGCAATATATTACATTTTTGGATCTAATACTGCTTTAATAATGTAACAAAATTGCTTTCATGTGTGTCATTTATATCTCCCTAGAGTTCAACATTATTGAATAGACTTTCTGATTTCAGCCTCATTGCAATGTTTCGTGAATAGTATTAGCAATCCACTTGTTGCTTAGAGTTTTTAACATCTTCTGAATTACAACAAAGGCAAAGGCACACAATACCGCTGTCATACATTAATAAAGACCTTCAAATACAATTAACTACATACACAACTAATGTTTAAGAAATGCTTTTATTTTGATTTCTTTAAATTTTTAACAGAAAAAGCCCTTTATTTTGATCAGGGATCTGCTAAATGCTCTCTTGATACAAGGACCCTGCAGGAGGTTAAAACACGCTCCTTTCTTTTCTAGCAACACGCGATGCATTTACCTGTAGATTGCACGTGTCTATTCCTAGTAGCGTGTCACTGTTATACCGCGTTCCTATTACTGCACACTTTCAGCCTGACATAGAGAGGAGAGATTTGCCCTTGTGTGTTCAGTAGTCCGGATAAATCCCAGATTAGGCTAAACTTCCTGCAGTTCAGTAATTAGAGACTTAAGTGGCAAGCGCTGGGGTTACATGTATAATTTATACATTTTGTGGAAAATGAAAAGAAATATAAAAAAAATATTAAAGGAAAGTCTTTCAATCACCGCAAGAATACGCAGAAGGGTTATATGATAGCGCTTTCAACTATAAACAAAAACATGAAACAAAGTTCCCGTAGTTAGCGACATTAGAGAATAAAGTGTCGGGGTCTTCTCAGGTAGCTCTGTGAGTGCAGATAAGATTTTTTCTTTTTTTTTTTTTTCATTACTTTTTTTTTATGTGGAAAACGTTCTGGCTGTTTTCATCTGAACGCCACATTGGTTTCATGTTATGGTTTCTAAGAAATTCATATCAGGCGATGTTCTTCAATATTCGTTCTTCAAAAGATACTTGATGTGGACACTGGGGGAGAAAAATGCAAAGTTATTCAATGCGAACCACTAATTATACATATATACTGCTATATACTTGGGGTACTTATTTCAGATTATTTCAAAATGAGCAAACAGTGTGGCCAGGCAGTGAGGAAAGCAAATAGAATTCTAGGATGCATCTCTAGAGGGGTCACCAGCAGGAGGAAGGGTGTCCTGATTCCTCTATATAGATCTTTAGTTAGACCTCATTTAGAATACTGTGTCCAGTTCTGGAGACCCCACTTACAAAAAGATATTGGTAAGATAAAACAAGTCCAGTGAGGGGAACAAAAATGGTGAAAGGTCTGGGGGTACAACATATCAAGAGCAACTTCAGGAACTTATGTACAGTCTGGAGGACAGAAGGGAAAGAGGAGACATGATTGAAACCTTTAAATACATCAAGGGGGTGAATAAGGTTCAGGAGGGCAGTATTTTCAACACAAAACCAAAATCAAGAACATGGGGACATGACCTTAAACTAACTGGATGAACGTTCAAAACTAATCTCAGAAAGTACTATTTTACTGAAGGAGTAGTTGATGATTGGAATAACTTCCAGCAGAGGTAGTGGGCCAGTCAGCAGTAAATAGCTTCAAACATGCTTTGGGAGAAGCATAAATCTATACAAAAAAGTTAATGAAAAAAAAACAAAATACAACCCCCCCTGACAAAAACAAAAAAAGGAAACACAAAAAAAAAACACACACAAACCCCCCCAAACAAAAACGGCAGACTCGATGGACCACTCGGTCTTTTTCTGCCATCACTTATTTATTTCACTGTATAGCCAAAAAAATTACAGGCAGAATCGTGGTGATTCCATATAATTCATAATGCCCAAGTGTGAATGGGGCCTTACAGCATAGCTCCCAACTGACCCTCATTTCGAAGGGCTGTCCCTCTTTTCAAACCAAATCCCTTTTTCCTCCTCAGCTATCCCATTGTTTTGACATGAAATATAGACCTCTTTAAATATGTATTATTTAACTATGCAGAGTCTCATATTACACCATATAATTTATCCAACCTCTAAATTATTGTGTTTGCTACTTTGAAAATCCTTTACAAAAGGAAAAAAAGTGTGAATAATAATAACACTTTTTGGGTATAGGCAATACATTTTTTGTTGGACCTAGTGGTCCATGAAACTCAGAGCAAGGGTGTGTGTCTTTTTGCCTACATACTTTGTACTAAAAGGTGCCCCTCTTTCCCATCTCATGAAGCTGGGAGGTATATGATTACAGCACTGTCTGCTCCTGATGCCACCAAGGAGGAGGCTTCCAATAGGCTTACCAAATACCACTGTTACAGAACTGGTTCTGCGCTTCCTTTGGACATCACAAAATGCTGGAAATTGTAAATCCAGATACTGAATCTTATAGAATGCTAAGACTTGCAGTACTGCATTCCCTGAATCATGTTTGTTTCATGCATATATTACACTAGATTTCAGCTGAATTTTAATTTGTGTATGTCCAGCTTTACAGTGAGAGACAGGGCAAGGGAAGTCATTGTGCAATATTACTAAGCAGGAAGCAGAGCCTGCATATTTAATGAGTAAATGTGGCTCCCCCTTGTACATATATCATTACAACCCATACCCAGAAATGAAGTGTTTTAACCTTTAATACTCATCAAATATTATTAGTATTAAGCTGATCACATTTATGTAGATATCTATAAATTCTAAAAAAGATTATAGCTTAACTTTTAATAAGGCAAACAAATAATTATGCAGAAAATACAAAAACCCATAGCAACAAATCATCTTTTACTGAGCAGATTACAGTAAACTCAGATTTGATTGACTGCTAGTGAATCTTGTGCTGCATTAAGTCTTAAATTGCTTATTTACGTGATAATAAACTTACTTGAGCTAGAGTTCAAATTTCCAAATCCTGAAAATCCGAAACCTCCTCCGGCACCCAGGCCCAGGCTTGAACTGACACTACTTCCAATGCCACCACCAAGGCCACCACCAAGGCTTAAGCCACCTCCAAATCCTGCTCCAAGACCTCCTCCAAGACCTCCTCCAAGACCAAGACCGCCTCCAAAACCACCTCCTAGTCCTCCACCAAGGCCTCCGCCAAGTCCAGCTCCACCACCAGCACCTCCGCCTCCTCCACCAATGCTAGTTTTGGACATCTGTACCGTGATGCCACTTCCAGAGCTGAGTCTGTAAGATAAAATAGAAATGTATTACCTTAAGCATTAAACTTAAAGAAGACACCAGCCACATTTAAGAACACTCTATTTATCCTACATATAGTATATCCACTGAGCAAATGCAAAACTTAACAAACTTTAACAGTTCTTTGTGAAATTACACACAAGCTTTCTTTATATTAAAACCCCATCATCTACTGCATACCAACAGACATTTCCAATTACTCAGTCCATAGCTCTATATGTTATGGTTTCTGAAATGGAAAAGCAAGTATAGGGCCGAGGTGACTGACGCCAAATTCTGTTTTTCCCTATATATCTATGCCATGTCATATTACTGGTTCCTGGTCAGGGGGGATTTTCACAGCAGCAAAAGATCATTTGCAACCCTAGAGACCCTAGAGAGATTACAGTATATGTTTTATAATTTGGCATTGGCTGTTATAAAAGCCAGTAAGAAAGGCCACAGAAGGGCAAAGGTGGGGTGGTATTTTGGGACCTGCATTGACATGCTTTTGTTGGCTTCAACAGGGTTTTGCATTCCTATACATGTCTATAGGAATACTGAGCCTGCTTGAAGCAAGTCAAATGCAGCGGTAAACTGCAGGTCAAATGCACCTGTGAAAGAACCTGTCACTTCATCCCTTTGTTCTTGCACAGGGGCCCATTGCTGACTATGCTCACCATTGTTTGAAAGAGCCATAATAGTCTTATGCACGAAACATTGTTTAATACTGAAATGGTTGTACTAAATGGCCTATTTATAAAACATATATTTTAAATGTATTAGAAAGGAATTAAGCATTGTTTCCTAAGGACCCCTATATCAGCCCCCACAACTGTCATGTTGTGTCACAAAAATAACACTGTATAGAGCTTAGGCAAATTAATGTGTTTGTTCTGGGCAATGAAGCAAATGATGTCATTTTCCAAATAAACGCATTTATCAAAACAGCAGAAATCAGGGTAATTAGGCGTTCTGGATCCCATCGTCACAGAAGATGAAGCTGTGTACAGAAGGCTTGTCTCCTTTTGTGCATGAAAAGCAGTGCAGAGCATCTTTGTCCTAGATAAGGGAGCCACGTGCCACCCCTACGATGTGCTGAAGGAATGTGAACTTTAAACTTGGAGCAGTCAAATCATAAAAGAAAATGTTTGAAAAGATATAATTGTACACAGCGGTTACATCCAATGCAAATCAAAATAAGCAGGATAGCTCTATTATTGTCTATGAAAGCAAATGTTAAAATTTCTGTTTTTGGAAGATGATGGAGCTTTATTTCTTAAGTCTCTTGGGGTCTTTGCCTAATATCTTTTCTTGATTTCCCAGATCTGTGCACCTGCCAGAGCCTTATAGGGAGGCACCCTCTTCCTACTGGATTTTTATATGTATTTTATAATATGGAGATTCTAACAAGATTAGATGGGGCGCACAAAGGTGAATGGGGACACCCAATACATCCTAGTGAACAGGAATAGATTTGGGAATTATGGCAAGATCTCCCTGTTGGAGTATTTAAGTAATCAAAGAAGTCAAGGGCCTATGAACATAAAATATTACTTTCTGGAGAAACTGGTCCTTTAAAAGTGCCTTCCGTCTCAAAATTCACACTGGATCTCTGCTCTGTGCTGTATATATATATATATATATATATATATATATATATATATAGTAAGAGCTGCATTAAAGTACAACTATAGGCATTTTTTTTTTATTTTGGATAGAGTAAGGGAGGGTTATAACTCTAATCAGTTTATTTTTTGCCATCTGTGTCCAGCTGGGGAGATTTGCCTTCACTTCCTATCGCATAGCCAAAACAGGACATGAGAAATTATCAACAAATTAAGGAAATTCTTTTGGGGACCCCAGGTTATCAAAAATAGTGTCCCCATTGAAAAATATTCCCTCTATTACTTTTTGGGGATAATCCAAATTTTGGGACTTCTTGTACTTTCGCTTTCAATGATAATGGTAAACAGGTCAAATAGAAAGGGTGAATCTTCCTAATGGCGGGCACAGACAGCAATAAAACTTGACAGGTGTTCTAATTCCTCTCCACTCTGTCCAAAACTAAAAAAAAAAAAAGTTTTGCCTTTAGTTATACTTTAAGCTTGCAACTTTAATGGCTAACTTTGTCATCATCAGAATTCCTACAACCATGATTGTAGTACATTTTAAGCTTTTGATCAAAGTGGAAAGCTACTTTAAAGCAAACCTTTCCCCTCAGCTCCATTCAACAGCCAAAAGCATGTATAGGGAGCCTTGTCTATTGTCTTTTCCCACTCTGATGTGAATGCACTGAACCAATCATCAACCACCAGAATGGCTTGGTAAGGGAGCTATGTGCTCATTCATACCAATAGGGGAAGAGCAAAAAAAGCAAAATATGCACTTCTAAGGATTGCAGCATTAATGTTTACAAGCAGCTAGCTTCAGTCTTACACCTGCAGCATAAAACGATGGCTCATTCAGCATTTTTGTCACCTTAATGTCAGGCAATAAGAAAATGTTAATAAAATGATATTTGCAAAGTTGCCGACACATGGATTACAGTTAATTAAGTTTGACTTCTTCTTCAAGGGATATAATTTTCTTTTACAAAGCACAATATAAAGTGTTGGAAAATTAATTCTGGGCGCCAGAACCTGCACTGCCAATTTACTGGATTTCTAGAACTCTTAACCTCTCCTGACATTTTCCTTTTGCTTCGCTAAGCTATAAATAAGCCAGACTTATAGCCATCTTTGCTGGAAAGATCAGAAAGCTTTTGAATTGTCAACACAGAAATGTCCTTCAACAGAGAAAGGGTTAAGGAGGCAACAGTTCCCATTTGCATTGGCACCACTTTTAATGCACATGAGGGTCAATGTATTGATGAGGTGACTCTGTACACACAAGCTGTTTAACAGAACTAAAATAACCTCTATGTAGGTCACGAGACAGTGTATTATCAGCAATTCATAAACTACACGAGTCATTAAAAGCTAGATACAAATGTCACCCTTGGGAGCCAGAGAAGATGGAGGTATCTTGTACCATAGTGCTATTTAACCCTTGGCTCCATTCAGATGCAGATGTGCTTCTTCCAGCATTTTTGCCTAGGTGTAATAGTCAGTAAGGGGTGCTCTCATAGATATTGCCTAAACTCAATGGGGTTGATTTACTAAAGCTGGAGAGTGCAACATTGTGTGCAGCTGTGCTTGGTAGCCAACCAGCATTACACTTCTGCTTGTTCAATTAAGCTTTGACAGTAAAACCTGGAAGCTGATTGGTTTCTATGCAGAGCTGCACCAGATTTTGCACTCGCTAATTTTAGTAAATCAATCCCAGTCTGTGTTTGTGGACTATTTAGGACCAAATACAAACCCTCCTCAATGGAGCCTTACATTCATCCATATCCTCTGGGTGATGCTTGACCAGACAAAAGGTCTTGAGGGAGATTAAAATCTTGCCTGGACCCAGCTGTCCACCAAATCACCTTTCTCCTATCTTGCACTCTTAAGCCCATGTCATACTGAAGAATTACAGCAGGTATTTGTAGCAGCTACAGACTCCCTCTCCCTATGTCTATGTCAAATTTGTTGTCCTGTTGGCGATTTTGTAGCAGGGATTTGTAGCAGCAACAGACTTGCTCTCTTTATGTCCATGTCACATTTGAAAGCATGTCACTGGTAATAGCCAAGGTGAATTCTAGCTGCATAGATAACCATTGAAGTCGACTACAGCAACAATTCTGTAGCTAACTACAAATGGACAGAAAAAAATAAGCAGAAAGATCTGTAGCTGTGACATACCTCTATAACAAAGGTACTAGTTTGACATGGCCTTTGGGCTAGAGATTAGTGGGAAGCTTGACGTAATGAGGCAACCATTAACTTCTCATGACCGTGCATGGCCATGACTAATTGTCTTTGATTTTTTTCCGTTGCTTTAAAAATGGGGAAGAGTTTGGCTAATTTCCCCCCCCCTAAAATCTCACTAAGTCCTGCAAAGAAGGGACTATATGCAACAATTTGCAGTTGCCCATTCAAAAGATCGGGTTTGATAACAATTAAAAATTATACCTGCAGAAAAAACTATTGAACATGAAGCTCTACCTTATCCTTTCATTCAAGCAAGCTATTCAGTAATATCACTTGCTCGGAACCCTCTCTAGAAGCACCCATGTAATCACTCCTGAAGGGTTGCATGGCTTCCCCAACATTGATGTTGGCCATGTGGAGTCTTCTTGAACTGGAACTTACAGAATGCTCAGAGTCTGGATCAGTAGGCATTGACTGGGATCCACTGTTCACTCTGCACTACCTTACAGTAAAAATGTCTCCCTGACCCACAAGCATGCAGAGAGAGTAAGTCTTTGATACAGAAAGTATAAAAGCTGTTGCATCAGCAAATATTATTTTGTAGTCAGGAATGGCTGTGCCCATATTATCCCAGTGCGAGTTTTCCTTATGTGATTGTAACTGGCAGTTATGCCCAGTGAACCTCACATCAACCTCAATGGGAAGCAATGGATGAAGGGAAATCTGAAGATTGTTGTTTTTGCAGAGAACCAGAATCAATAAAAACTGGGTTTAAATGAATTAACTAATAGAAAAAAATAAATAAATAAAGAACCTCCATACACAATCCCATACCCATAGCTGATCCAGAGGAAGGTTCAAAACCCCCAATAAAACATGATCCAATTTGCTCCAGCGGGGGAAAAAATTCCTTGCTGATCCCCTAGGAGGCATTTGATATTCCCTGGATCAATAATACCTAGTGGTATTACCTATAAATGTTAATATCCAGTTATATTTTGTGCATTTAGTAATGTAAAAAGATGTTTTGAATAAAGATAAAATAAAGTAAATTTATAGTAAAAAAAGAATGAGCTCATAGAGTAGAGGCATCTTCCTACTTCTTGGGGTGTGAAGGTTGTTCTTTCATTATGGAGGCATTGAACAGACACAAGCAACCTGCAATGCAGCAGCTGCTAAAGAACCACAAGTCTCAGCAAATCAAGT